TAGTTGATCAGAAGAAGAAGCGATCGCTGGAACAATGGCTTTATTCGCCTGACGTTTCGGATTCTCTCTTGAATCCATCATCAGAGACAGTTGCAGAAAAGGGTGGCTAGTGTACAGGCAGTCGCAGTATTTATAGGATGCGGTCGCCATGCTACCGCATACCTACAGCAATTAACCGTGCTCCCTTCATCAAGGATTGTTGCCCGCAGGTGCGCTAATTGCTTGATGGCCGGCATGCAAGTTGTTAATTGCTGACATCTCATCACCCGTGTTGGATGCTGGCGAGATGATTGCTCGGCCATCTGGCTCACGTGCTTGCGCGCTCCTCGAGTGGTCAATTGCTTTGGCCAGTCTATGCCTCAGGACTGAATATGGAGTGGGGATGTCATTGCACTTGTTGATAGACTGAGGTCCCGTGAACCATGACTCAAGCAACTCGCGGCTCACGCGATTATCCCCTCTCGCGAGAATTTCGGCCTCATCGAACTTGAATGTGTGGCCGGGTCTCGTCGAATGGGCCGCGACCTGAGAGTTGGCGTCATTTCTCCGTACAGCTGCCACGTGTTCGGCAATTCGCGTCCGGAGCAGTCTTCCAGTTTCTCCGACGTAGTTGCTTTGTCCGCAACTGCACCAGATCCGGTAAACGACTCCAGATGTTTCTTGCCGTGGCAGTGGGTCTTTTGGTCTCATCACTTGACGCCTCATGGTGGCCTCCGGTCTGTGCGCAACTCCAACCCCAAGTGGTGCAAGAAGGCGGCTAACGGCCTCGGAGACGTTCTTGATGTACGGGATCGCTCGCCAGAATTTGGGGTCGGCGCGATTTTGTCGCTCGTCTCGTTTGCGCAAGCACTGGTTGACGAAGTTGCGCGGGTAACCGTTTTCTCGGAAAACCCGTCGAAGATATTGGGATTCGGCAACCTTGTCTTCCGGTTCACTGCAATGCGTTTCAACACGCCGAAATAGCGTTCTTACGCAACTGCGTTTGTGGCAGATTGGGTGGTTACTGTTGAAGTTCAGAATTTGCGTCGTGTTCGTTGCTTTTCTGAACACTTTGGTCTTTAGGCCACCACAATCTTTGCGACAGACGAGGACATCAAGGAATGCCAGCTGGTTATTCTCTTCCTCCTCCATCGTGAATTGTATGTCCGGGAAGACGCTGTTGAGACGTTTTTTGAACGTTAGCACCTGATCCCGTTCGATGACGACGAAGGTATCGTCCACATACCGAGCCCAGAATTTCGGTCTGTGGTGTTGGAAGACCAGCGACTCCAACCGCTGTAGCACCGCCTCGGCGATGAATCCCGAAATCGGCGAGCCCATCGGTGTTCCCTTCACTTGCTCGTAGATTGTTCCGTCAAACGTGAAGTACGTCCTGAGACAGAACTTTAGGAGCTGAAGGACTTGGGCATGTCCGAGAGGATTCTCCGTTTCATCGTATTTGTTTCGTAGGAGTAGCTGGACGGTCTCGATTGCCAGATCCTGGGGGATAGAAGTAAAGAGGGACGTGACATCAAAAGATACCATGACCTCATTGGGCAAGAGACTTACTCCTTTAAGCTTCTCCAGGAATTGCGTTGACTAACAGACCGTGGTGTCCGAATCAGCGGTCAGAAATTTGAGGCGCCGAAACAGCCATCTTGCCAGTCCGTACGTTGGAGTGCCTTTGAGCGAAACAATGGGCCGGAGAGGAGCGCCCTCCTTGTGCACCTTTGGGAGACCATAGAATCGGGCCAAAGCCGTTTATCGGGCCAAAGCCGTTTCTTGAGCTCTCGCCATGCGTCGGTCGGTCGCTGTTATTGCACCCGAGTTCTCCAGTGCCAACAGTGTTGCATTAATTTCGCGTGTCAGCGTTTTTATGGGGTTGGTTTCACATGGGACATAGAACTGGCGATCCTCCAGTAGGTTTTTGGCCTTCTGAAGGTAGTCTGTTCTGTCCAGTACGACGGTGGAACGCCCCTTGTCCGCGGGCACAATGACGATGTTCTTGTCGGCCTTGAGTTCTCTTAGTGCATGGCGTTCGACCTTTGTGAGTGTTTCTCGCGGCTTGTGAGTCATAAGGAGGGATGTAACTTGGTGACGGATAAGATTCTTCGTCTCCTCCGCCGCTTCCGTCTGATTAATGACCGATTCCACTGCTGCATTCATGTTGACAGATTTGGCGTCAGCTGTGTTGAATGAGGCTTCGTGCCGTAAAACCTGTGCTTGCTCCTTCGTCAGTTCCTTTGACGACAGGTTGTGTACCAGTGTGCCGCTTCTGGATGACAATGGATCAGGCAGTTTGTGGAATTTGTTCCCCAGTGCTGCGTCGCGTGTCGCTCTCTGCTCGCGGGCTCGTTCAGTCACTTTCTGTTGAAGCAGATTTGTGCCGTTCTCGCCCATGAACTCGCAGCATCTGGCCTTTTCTTGGTCAATTCTCTGACGGTATTTGCGTAGTCTCGCATGGCAATCTTGAAGGAGCACGCGGATCATACGTCTTCCGTGCTGAAATACTGCGCGTCTCGCTAGCTCCGTGTTTACCGGAGGTTTGTATGAAACACACTTCGGCAACACGTTGTTATCGAGACACCTGTGCAGAAACCGGATCTGCGCGTAAGTAGAGGCCTCTCGAAGGGCAAAAGTTTCCCATCGTCGGGTCGATCGGAGCGAAGAGAGAATCCGAAACGTCGGGCGAATAAAGCCATTGTTACAGCGATCGCTTCTTCTTCTGATCAACTACTTCCTGGAACTCGCATTTTGCTTGTATCGGCAATTTGTTTGGTCGCGACGCGCTCCGATCGGCTGCTCCGGACGCGAATTGCCGAACACGTGGCAGCTGTACGGAGAAATGACGCCAACTCTCAGGTCGCGGCCCATTCGACGAGACCCGGCCACACATTCAAGTTCGATGAGGCCGAAATTCTCGCGAGAGGGGATAATCGCGTGAGCCGCGAGTTGCTTGAGTCATGGTTCACGGGACCTCAGTCTATCAACAAGTGCAATGACATCCCCACTCCATATTCAGTCCTGAGGCATAGACTGGCCAAAGCAATTGACCACTCGAGGAGCGCGCAAGCACGTGAGCCAGATGGCCGAGCAATCATCTCGCCAGCATCCAACACGGGTGATGAGATGTCAGCAATTAACAACTTGCATGCCGGCCATCAAGCAATTAGCGCACCTGCGGGCAACAATCCTTGATGAAGGGAGCACGGTTAATTGCTGTAGGTATGCGGTAGCATGGCGACCGCATCCTATAAATACTGCGACTGCCTGTACACTAGCCACCCTTTTCTGCAACTGTCTCTGATGATGGATTCAAGAGAGAATCCGAAACGTCAGGCGAATAAAGCATTGTTCCAGCGATTGCTTCTTCTTCTGATCAACATTTTAGAGTATCGGTTGACATTTCATAAGTTATCCCGCCTACTGTATTATATTCCCCTTTGTTTGTCTACTGGCTGCAGAAGACGCCTAAACAGTTGTGTAGGTCTCCAGTCACCAGCACCTCTTTCGGTATTCGAGTGGTGTAGGCGTTTTAGATCGATAAGGGAGTGCGGAGGACGT